AATACACTTTACAACTATTTTCCAATCAACAAACGGTGACTTGATTACCATTGTGTCTCCAAACAAATATTTCTCAGCATCATTCCCTACCATTAAATTTCTTGATAATTTTTCAATTGATATACCCGATAGGGCTCGAATCATGCTATTTTTCAATCAAACGCAGGACGGTCCTATACCTTTTATAATAATATGTCATATATAGAATTTTCTAACGATTTTACTGATGTGTTGAACAGAGGACGACGATAAGATAGAGACATATTTCCTGGGTTACCTGAAGATATTTCTCTCGCATTTCGATGGATTGATGGCCATATTTACTTTTTCCGTCACGCAACTTACTATAAATTTAATGAATTTACAAGAAAAGTTGTTGCGACCGGACCATTTCATTGGACTCTATTTGGAGTACCATGCCCCAGCGAGGATTTGTTACATCAACTAAAAACTCTGTTATCTAAACTTGTATCTGTTATCATTAAAAAATACATTTTTCAGAAAGCTATGTTTATTTCGTATTCAGCCTGTTGTCAAACAAAAAAAAAACATTCGGTTCCTTCCTTAAAACAATCATTCAATCTACCTGCACGACCAGAACACAGCGATATTGATTCAGACGACACTGTAGGCAACTGAAAATTTCATACACACACACACACACACCAATCAACCTTATTGTTATTATACTATATGTTTCAATAAAATATCCATTATACTTTTCATTTTGAACGGTATCATCCTGTATAATAATAACAGTACATCGTATACAAGTTATGAGACATTCTGACCGACCGACCGACCGACCAGAGGAGCCCACCACGCTATTTAGGTCACGCCTTGCTATATACGATTTAACGATATACCGTCGGTCCATCGATCCGCTATTTTTCGATGCACCCCTGTATACACGTTGCCCCCCGTAATCCACGCCAACACCAGACAGGTGCGACATCGGCGCCATCTATGCGCGAGATGCCCAACCCATCAATGGCAGCTGTCCAATGACACCTAGATTCCGTTTGGTTTGTACAGCGCCAAACAGATCGGCGCCATCTATGCGCGAGATGCCCAACCCATCAATGACAGGTGTCCAATGACACATAGATTCCGTTAGGTTTGACAGCGCCATCTAGCGGCGGAATCCCCAACTCATGACTTTCGATTACAGATTCCGTTCAACAACCTGTCAATGGCGCGCGACGCCAGCGCCTCTGGTGGCGGATTTTGGAACTACTGAGATCGAATCCCCATAAGAATCTACTGGCCGCTTAAGCGGGCCCTTATGCACCTCTACAATACTTAAATCACAAGCCTCGCCCTTTTAGCGAAGTTGAGAATCGCCTTGAGTCCAAGCTCCTTTACGTCCTGAGGGTCCAATGGACCCCAGTATAGTCTGCCTATAGTAGCTCAGAGCTTCACAGCGACACAAAACGTGCGCCGAGGTCTCTTCCTCTACTCCGCAGCGTTCGCACAAGGGATCCTCAGCCACCCCCATCACGTGCAGGTGCCGCCTTAACGTGTTATGGCCAGACAACAGTCCCACCAGCAACCTTAGGTTGGCTCTACCCAGAGATAGGCAGAAGCGTCCATCCTTAGCACTGGGTCTTTCAATGAGCTCTCGTGCCTGGCGGAGATGTCTAGAGATACTTCTCCATTTCTGAGAGTGTTGTCTTGCAACCCACGTCTCCATTTTCCTCCTAGCTTTATGCGGTTACTCCTAGAGCTGGCTCAGGACCAACGAGCTTGCTGGCTGATCCTGTTTTCGCCAGAGTGTCCGCCGTCTCATTGCCCCTTATCCCAGCGTGCCCCGGTACCCATATTAACGATACCGGATGCCTCGCTGCGAGGCAATCCAGAGCCTCCCTGCATTGCAATACAAGACTCGAAGTAATCTTACATGCACTTAGTGCTTTCATTGCAGCCTGGCTGTAGCGGATAAGATTGTTACTCTTCTCCTAGGCCCACCCTCCTCCAGAATGTGAGATACACAAGCCAGAATCGCAAAGATTTCCGCCTGGAAAATGGTGGTGTACTCACCGAGAGGCAGAGATAGCCTAGTTCTAGGTCCAGAGACCCCAGCACCTGAGCCCTCTTCGGTGACCGAGCCGTCCGTGTACCAGACCTGCCCGCTCACTTCGGAGAGTCCTCGGCTACCGGCGTCCCACTCCTCCCTCGTTGGGTACTCCACAATAAACTTGCGGTTGAAGCGATATTTAGGGGTAATACGATCACCCCTGCTTAGAAGGACGGGGTCCTCCCTTTCTAATTCGACTAATATGGCAGTATGCCCCTTGACCGGATTCAAGAAAGCCCAGCTGCCCTGACTCCACAGTCGATGAGCGACTACTCTCGCTTCACCGCGGATCACCAGATCCAACGGTGGGAGATCCAACAGAGCTTCCATTGCACTCAATGGCGTTGTTCGCACTGCGCTTGTAATGCTAATACAGGCCAAACGCTGAATTTTATTGAGTTTGGCCTTAGTTGACTCAGTTCTAATGCAAGGCCACCAGACCAGGGAGCCGTACAAGAGAGATGGACGTACTATCGTCGTGTAGAGCCAGTATACCACTTTGGGTTTAAGCCCCCACCTTACACCGACAACACGTCTACAAGCCCACATCGAATTGCGAGCCTTGCTAACCTTGTGTTCCACATGCTCTCTCCAGTTCAGTTTGCAGTCCAGGATAATTCCCAGATATTTCACTGACTGGGACAAAACTAATCTAGTCCCAAAGAAGGTAGGCATGACCAGTCCGTCAAGCCTTCTTCTCCTAGTGAATAGGATCAGCTCGGTCTTTTCAGCATTAACAGAAAGATCGACTTCCCTACACCACGATTCCACGGAGCGCAGAGCGCCCTGCATAATTTCCGAGACTGTTCTACAGAAACGCCCCCTAACCACTATGCTTACGTCATCAGCATAGGCTTGCGCGTAGACACCCATACTGCTGAGCCTAACGAGCAGTTCGTTCACCACGATACACCACAGTAGGGGTGACAGAACTCCGCCCTGAGGGCAGCCTCTAGCTACGTTCACGCTGCAGCTTACGTTATTCAGCATAGCTGTTGTTACCCGACCCTCCAGAGTAAAGAGGACCCAATCTATTAGGATTGATCCAACCCCGTGTCTAACCAAGGCCTGTCTGATAGAGTCGGTTGTGGTGCAATTAAATGCACCTTCAATATCTAAGAAGGCCACGAGTGCCACTTCTCGCTGATCTAGAGTCTTCTCCAGCCTCCCGACCAGATTGTGTAAGGCCAGATCAGTCGATTTTCCAGCTTGGTATACAAACTGATTTGCATGAATGACACACCTTTCCAGTGGGCCATCCCTTAGGTATCTATCAACTATCCTTTCCAGGGTCTTAAGCACAAAAGATGAAAGAGTAATCGGTCGAAAATGATTCGGGCCAGTATATCTATCTCTGCTCGGTTTAGGAATGAATACCACTTTAGAATGCCGCCAGCTTCTAGGTGTGAAGCCCGTGGCCACACATGCTCAAAACACCTTCAACAGGTAAGGAACAACCGAAATCCGTCCCTGCTGTAACATGGCCGGAAATACGCCGTCCAGACCTGGACTTTTGTATGGGGCAAACGAATCTACTGCCCATACCGTCCTTTCGAAGGTGACAATCTCCCTTGCCGTGCGCCAGTCCTCCCTTGAGGGCCTGCGCAACTGCATGCACTCTGTGATTGATCGGGTCTGGGTAAGATACTGGAAAGAATGATTTGTGAACGTTTAATGTGGATTTTGGAAAATGACGAACTGCTTGTAGGACACCAAGCAGGATTCAGGAGGTTTAGATCCACATTGGACCAACTAGTCTACGTTGAGGACTTGATACAAAATGGCTTCAAAAACAGACAGCATATTGTGGCTGTAATGTTTGATGTAGAAAAAGCCTATGATATGACGTGGAGATATGATATCCTCAAACAGTTACATCGCTGGGGAATTAGAGGAAATCTACCAATACTTATATCATCATTTTTGACAGATCGTCTCCTCCAAGTACGAATAGGAGATACGTTTTCCACAACACGCATCATGGAAAATGGTATCCCACAGGGATCAACCCTCAGCTGCATTCTTTTTGCGATAGCAATAAACTCCATCACTGAGAATGTCAATCCTGCTTATAGCAGGTTTATAACCAATGCTTATAAGTTGATGACTTATGCATTTTAACTTCAGGTAAAACTGTTGGTGAAACTACTCGACTTCTACAACCTGCTATTGATACCATCTTTCAGAATGCTAAGAACAAAGGATTGACCCTATCACGGATAAAAACACGATGTATCCATTTCTGTAGGCTTAGACGACCACACTATGATCCACGCCTCTGTCTCAGCAATGAACGCATACCCTGTGTGTCTTCTGTAAAATTCCTAGGCCTAACACTCGACAGTAAACTGACATGGAGAGAACACATTGAGGATCTTACCAACAGGTGCAAGAGAGCCCTAAACCTAATAAAATGCCTGTCGTCAACACGATTCGGAGCAGAAGCTGAGATGCTGTTGCGGATATACAAGAGCATCATTCTATCTAAGCTTGACTACGGTAGCATTGTTTACTCATCTGCAAGACCGCCACTGCTTAAAAAACTTGATACAGTTCACAACCAAGGATTACGTCTCTGCCTTGGAGCATTTCGTACAAATCCAGCAGCTAGCCTCTATTGCGAATCCGGAGTTGAACCTCTATCCATTAGACGTAAAAAACTTGCACTATCGTATTCTGCACAGATTCAAACACGACCATTCCATAGAAACTTTTCTATCATTTTCAGTACGGATGAGAGCTACATCTGTCGCCCCACAATAACAAGACCTCTCAGAGTCCGAGTTAAACAATATGCCGAGGAAATTGGTATATCATGTAACCCTATCTATAATGTTAAACACAGAGAATCTCCTCCATGGCTGTCACCCAAAATAAATGTGAATCTCGAGCTGACTGCACTATCTAAGAATGACCATCCATCTGAACTCATAAAATCACGTTTTATGGAAATCGTTTCTAGATATCCGGCAGCAACAGTTATCTATACAGATGGATCGCGAACTGACAGTGGTGTCGGCTGTGCTATAGTAGTCGATCAAACTGCACATCAATGGACACTATCACCAATAGCATCCATATTTACTGCTGAACAATATGCTATTTGGCAGGCCCTACGATACTGTGACATGTCGAATAACATAACAACAGCTATTATAGCTAGTGACTCGCTCTCAGCACTTCAAGGCCTAATGAACTATGCATCTCGAGATTCCTTAACTGTGATGTGTCTTGAAACTGTCAAACATCTCTTAAATAAAGGGGTAAACGTAAAATTTCTGTGGTTGCCAGGACACGTTGGTATACAGGGGAATGAAGCTGCTGATATGGCAGCGAAAGCAGCAGCAGCGCAACAAAACATCGACATCCCTGAAATAAAAATGTCTGATCATAAAAACTACCTCATAAACCGTATACTGGCAAATTACATGGGGTAACACTGATACCCCACTTAAGACAGATAAAACCTAGTGTAGGATTATGGCCACATCCTATCAGACTGCCACGAGAGGAATGGGTGCGCATACATCGCTTACGCTTTGGCCACACACGTCTTACACATGCACATCTTTTGCTCGGAACAGATCCGCCCTTGTGCACTGGATGTAACTCTTCACTCACTGTACGCCACATTATCTGCACATGTCCGATATTGTCCCAATATCGAGTGATCTATGGACCATTTGATAACCTGACAGAGAGTCTCACACAACCAGAAAAACTGAAAAACGTCATATCATTCTTAAAAGTATCTGGTTTCTATTGGAAGATCTGACCTAATGAACTTTTTGGAAATGAACCATTTTAATTTTTGTGTATCTTATTCTCAACTGAGATTAAATGAATGTTATGTAACGATGATTTTGCATCATACCTACCTTAGCTTAGTATTGTTATCTTGAACTAAAAGAAATATGTAACAATAGAATTAGATAAATCGAAATACTTACGTGAACGCAAACAAGATCGTAAAATGCAGATAATGACAAAAAAAAATTAATATTAATGAATATATGCCAGACAAATTAGTCGTGTAACATTTCCCAGAGATTATCTTTTGTTGCTAATAGAATCTGAAAGTAAACGACAATAGTATATCCTTTTCGATTAATATCTGGAATTTGCGTAGCTGGTTTTTTAAAAATGCGACACTTACCACTTAGACATGTAAGAGATTATATATTTTATACTTTAGATTTATTATTATATTTATATATTATTGAATACGGCTAATAACCAGAGAAGTTGACGCCGTCAAAAAAAAAATAATAATGATAATAGTAATTCTAATTCTCATGCCCTAGCATATCGATTCTTTCACCCTATTAATAATCCTATCAGTCTCATCCTTCTACTCATAATTCTAATCCTAATAATCCCAACCCCCTACCCACCATTCATCATGATCTACTATAAAATAATTACATATTACAATGACCCCCCACCACATAATACTAATAATAACCTAGTAATAATTGTTGGAACGCGTACTAGCGTCACCCCGCCGCGCCGCTACTGGCGAGACGACCAGACAGGTTGCCTAACCTAGAAGCTTGTAACCGCCGTCCTGTCCCCGCGCGCCGCACCTCGGAATGCAGTCAGTCGTGAAGAGTCAGTCGTGGGAAGCAGTTGGAGTACAACAGCAGCCAGCACACGCGCGCGGATCGCGGAACGCGGAAGCCCGATCTACACCTGTCGCTTATCTACCCATCCATGTACATGTAATCAATAAACTGTTCTGAACCGAAGACCACTGCGAGTTGAATTGCTCTGCTTACCTATCCTCAACAGGTTACGGGCCCAGAGACAGTGCTACGGACATTGAACAATTATTGCAAGTGCTGAAGATAATATAGGAAGTGTGTGACTAGTGTTATCAAACATGAGTGTGGCAAAAGTATCCTGTATAGACTCGCTTAGCAGGGATAACTACGACACGTGGAAAATACAGATGAAGGCATTGCTGGTAAGAAACGATCACTGGAGTTATGTATCTGGCGAGATAAAGCAGCCACGGATAGATGATGGGGACGAGGCATCCACGAGAGCTGTAGAAGCCTGGACTAAAGGTGACAGCAAGGCGATGTCGGACATAATTTTGTCAATAAGCCCCTCAGAAATCAAACAGGTAAAGAACTGTAATACATCCAAGGAACTGTGGCAAAAGTTGGAGGGTATTTACCAATCAAAAGGACCCGCTAGAAAGGCCACATTGCTCAAACAGCTTACACTGCAACGTATGGAAGAGGGACAGGACATACGATGTCATTTAAACTCATTTTTCGATGCAGTTGACAAGTTAAATGACATGGATGTAGAAATCAATGCAGATCTATTAGCGATAATGCTACTGTATAGCCTGCCAGCCAGTTTTGAAAACTTCAGGTGTGCAATTGAGTCTAGAGACGAATTACCATCCCCGGAAATTCTTCGAATAAAAATTATAGAAGAGTATACTGCGCGGAAAGGCGACGTTCGAGAAACGGAAGGCGCCATGTTCGTGAAGCGGAATTATGGGAAAAATCACGGTCACGCAGGAAATGGCGGACGGGGCAGTGGCGTCTCGGAAGGTACACGAGGCAGCGGCGTCTCGGAAGGTGCACGAGGCAGCGGCGTCTCGGAAGGCAGAAGAACGTTCAGGTATAAGTGTCACAGATGCCGAAAAGTAGGCCACAAGGCCGCTGAATGTCCAGACAAAGGTAAGACTGTTGCCAATTCTTACAAAAGTGAAGCGAACTGTTCCGAACACGTGGGACTCGTTACCGCGGAATGTTATCATGTTGAACAGAATCACAAAAGACTGAAATGGTGTCTAGACAGTGGCGCAACGTCTCACTTATGTAAAGACATTAGTTGTTTTTCTGACCTTGAACGTAGACATGATCATTTGAATTTAGCAAATAGTGAATTTACGGACATTACAGGTTCCGGAACAGCTACGTTTGTTGCTGACGTTTTTGGCGACACGAAAAACATCTCACTCCACAAAGCTTTTCATGTTCCCGACCTAAGAGTAAACTTACTTTCTGTTGCAAAGATTACCGATAAAGGATTTGAAGTTTTATTCAAGAAAGAAAATGCTTTGATCTATGATAGTAATGGTGATATAAAAGTTGTAGCCGATCGTAGTGGCGATTTATACTACGCGAGAGAAGGCGAAGCGCAGAATAAATCAGCTTTCATTTCGACCATGAATTCTAAAAATGTCAAACTATGGCATCGTAGATTAGGACATTTGAACTTTCAGGATTTGAATTCTTCATTGAAGAAAGGAAGATTAGGTGGAATAAATATTGAAAATATGCCTAATAATGGGGAACTTAATTGCGAAATTTGCATACGCGGAAAAATGACGCGTTCACCATTCCCGAAGAAGTCCGACAGGGAATCGGAAATGCTAGAAATCGTACATACTGATGTTTGCGGTCCCATGCGAGTAGAATCTCACTCGAAGTACAAATATTTTGTCGAATTCATAGATGATTATTCTAGGTATTGCACGGTATTCTTCATGAAACATAAAAATGAAGTTGTGCGAAAGACTCAGGAATATATTACACTGGTCGAAAACGAAAAGAACAAAAAGATAAAGTGCATCCAATCTGACAACGGGACGGAGTACACATGTAAGGAAATGGAGGATCTCCTGAAAAAGCACGGAATTTCACGTCGCTTGACTTGCCCATACACTCCGGAACAGAACGGTATAGCGGAGAGGAAGAACCGCACTCTCTTGGATACAGCACGTTGTCTAATCATGCAGTCCGGCTTACCTCCGATCTTTTGGGCTGAAGCCATCAACACGGCCAACTATTTGCGGAACAGATGTCCATCCAAAAGTCTGAACGGGTTAACACCATACGAAAAGTGGACTGGAAAGACTCCCGACGTTTCGCATCTCAGAGATTTTGGTTGCAAGGTCTTCTGTCTAAACCAAGATCAGGCCAAGGGGAAGCTAGACGCAAGATGTAAGGAAGGAATTTTCATAGGGTATTCGGAACAAACGAAAGGATACAAGATCTGGTTGCCGAAGGAGAATAAATTCGTAATCACGAGGGATGTTAAGTTCTTGGAAAACGCAGAAGTCACATGCCAAGAATGGACAGATTTTATTCTGGAAGGATCATCCAAGGAGAATGAATCTGAGATGCATACTATCGAGGTACAGCTATCCCCAGTTGTCGAGAACGAAAATCCAGAACATGAATCTCCTACAACGGAACAAGAAGAGCCCGAGGTTGATCACGATTCTGAGCCACCCAGGCGTGCCCGCGGGAGACCCAGAATTCGGCGAACTGGTTCGAGGGGAAGACCTAGAAAGATATATAGGTACAGGACACCCCCGAGAGGTTCAGCACTCTCTTCTGAAGAGGTATTACTGTCCGAGGTCCCGATGCATCAGGCAGTCAGAGGCGAGGACGCTGACGAATGGCACAAGGCGATGGCAGACGAAGTGGCATCTATCTTGAAAAATGGTACTTGGGAATTAATCGACCGACCATGTAACCAGCACATCGTTGGAAGCCGTATTGTCCTGAGAAACAAGTACAAGCCTGATGGAACTATCGAAAGGAGGAAGGCAAGACTAGTCGCTCGGGGATTTAGCCAAAAGCCCGGAACACATTTCAACGAGACTTTTGCCCCTGTAGCAAGGCTTAGCTCCATAAGACTTGTATCTGCCCTAGCAGCACATTTAAATATGGACATGCAGCAACTGGATGTTACCTGCGCATACTTAAATGGAAGTCTAGATGAGACGATTTACATGGAAACCCCCGAATATTTGGATGAATCATTGAAGATTATTTGTGATAACTCCAAATACAACGAGGCTACCAGAAAGAAGGCTCGAGATACCTTGAACACACTGGGAAAAGGTGATAAAGTATGTCTACTTAGGAAGTCACTATACGGCCTGAAGCAAGCCGGTCGGAGCTGGTATCAGAAACTAAGCCAGACACTTAGTGAATGCGGTGCAAATCCAACTAAGTCCGACCCATGTGTATTCACTAGTAAAACAGGGGAAGACATCATGATAATTGTCACTTATGTAGACGATCTGATTATCGCATCACGTGACAAAAACGCAATATCGTCCCTAAAAGCCAAATTATCTGAAAGATTTGAAATGAAAGATCTGGGATCAGTTAATCATTGCCTAGGGATGGAATTTTCACTCAAGGAAAACAAGATAAGTCTAAGCCAGAGAGCATATATCTTGGAAATACTAGATCGATTCAACATGGCGGATGCGAACACTGTAAGCACTCCACTTGATCCAGGAACGAAGTTAAGGAAACCGACGGAGAGCCCATCTAGTGAAGAGCTGAAGTTACCTTATAGGGAGCTTATAGGTGCGCTAACCTATCTATCGTTGGGAACGAGACCCGATATTAGCTTTGCAGTAAGCTACTTAGGACAGTTCAACAACTGTTACACTAAGGAACACTGGACAGCCGCAAAGCGAGTACTTAGGTACCTGAAGGGCACCATCGATCACTCGATAGTATACCAACGAGAAGACATGAATCTGAGAGGATTCGTTGATGCTGATTGGGCAAACTGCCCTGACGATAGGCATTCGTATACCGGATTCTCATTCATCCTATCAGGCGGACCCGTATCGTGGGAATCGAAGAAGCAAGCCACAGTGGCATTGTCTACCACCGAGGCGGAATATATGGGTACCACCGAAGCTGCCAAGGAAGCAATCTACTTGGGCAAGTTCATGACCGAACTTGGGTTCGAAAGACTCGCTAACGTAACCCTGTATAGCGACAATATGAGTGCTATAAAATTGGCCGAGAACCCTAGATATCATTCCAGAAGTAAGCACATCGACATACGTTACCATTTTGTGCGGGAGGCCTTGGAACAGAAGAAGTTTAAGTTGAAGCATACTCCATCTTCTGAAATGGCCGCAGACGTATTGACGAAGGGGTTGTCGAGGACAAAACATCGGAAGTGCATGGAACTTTTGGGATTACAGACGACGGACCAGAACCTGTATATGTCTGCTACGTCTCGAGGGGAAGTGTTGGAACGCGTACTAGCGTCACCCCGCCGCGCCGCTACTGGCGAGACGACCAGACAGGTTGCCTAACCTAGAAGCTTGTAACCGCCGTCCTGTCCCCGCGCGCCGCACCTCGGAATGCAGTCAGTCGTGAAGAGTCAGTCGTGGGAAGCAGTTGGAGTACAACAGCAGCCAGCACACGCGCGCGGATCGCGGAACGCGGAAGCCCGATCTACACCTGTCGCTTATCTACCCATCCATGTACATGTAATCAATAAACTGTTCTGAACCGAAGACCACTGCGAGTTGAATTGCTCTGCTTACCTATCCTCAACAGTATACAGACAAGTTCAATATTTACTCCGCATGTGACTGAGGATCTTTAATAGCCAAGCTGCCTCTTCGGTTGTCTAATGATGTGAGATCCACGTGCATACCATTTTATTTTTCAGAGCTGTCCAGTATGGTACAAGGATAATAAGGTAAGTACAGATAGGTATGGGATGTAGGTGAGAATGCGTCGTAAAATGTTGATGTGGAAGTGGCTGGAGGCGTAACGAAATAGGAGTATCTATATCTTGGTGTATGTATCCGAGCGCAGCAGGAAATCCATAACTTTTGGCCATTCCGTTTTGAGCAGGGTTTGTATATTGGAAGACATCTGTAGTTCCCTGCGGAGATCACTGTAGAGTCGACATTCCACCAGAATATGTTGAACAGTGAGGTCTGTTTGACATGCTAGACATTGTGGTCTGTGATCGCCGGCCAACAGGTACGCATGGGTCAACTTACAATGGCCAATTCGTAGTCGGCATAAGACTGTCTGCTGCCGACGATTCAGTTGCTTCGGATAAGTCCATTTTTCGATACTTGTTTGGACGGATCTCATGTGTCCGTCATATAGGTCCCATTTGTGCTGCCATGCTTGTTTTGTGGTGTCTTTTAAGTGTTTTACATAGTCAGATAGCGGAGTAGGAATGCCTTCATCCGGTGCCATGGTGGCTGCTTGCTTTGCCGCTGCATCAGCCAATTCATTGCCGATAATATTCACATGACTAGGTACCCATATGAAACGGACTTTTTTATGGTCATTTTCTAGTGAGCTGGTTAAGTTCAAGATTCGACTTATTCTTTCATCCTTGGTGAAGTTATTTCCTATGGAGCTGATCACACTCAGAGAGTCTGATACTATCGAACACGCTAAGCTAGATGACAATGCAAAGAATAGAAGTGCCTGCCAGATGGCATAACATTCTGCAGTGAAAATACTTGAAATCGGATCCAGACTCCACATGTGGCAAACACTGTTAACTACTATTGATGCTCCCACTCCGGTACTGCTCTTAGATCCATCCGAGTATATGAAGAGATGATCGTGGAGGTGATCTGTAATTTGTTTGAAACGAGCGAGATACACCTGGGGTGCTGTCTCATTTTTAAGAAATACAGAAAGGCGAATATCAATATGTGGCTTTGACCTAGTCCAAGGTGGAGTGTCGTATGGGGCTCACTGCAACACATCCCTTATTGATATGTTGTTCGCTTGTTGGAATTCAAGGCTACGGATTCTGGCTGGACGTGTATACGTTGGACGATTTGTATGTTCGTTATCGCTTTCCAATATACTCAGATTAATATGTCTGGTAAGAGATTTTATTTTAGTCATATAGATGGCAGTTTGCATTTCACCTCTTAATTGTAAGGGTATTGCTGCAGCATCACAGAGGACGGCACTTGAAGGACTCGTACGAAAAGCCCCTGTAGCCGCTCTTAGGGCTGCCAATTGAATCCTTTCAAGTGCCTTGATCTTGGATGGTCTTGCAGAATTGTAAACAACTCTGGCATAGTCAATTCGAGACTCGATTAGACTCTTGTAAACCTTTATGAGAGCTTCGCGGTCTGAACCCCATCGGGTATTTCCTATGCATTTGATCAGGTTGAGAGATTTTCTACAACGAGTTGTGAGATGTTCAATTTGATCCTTCCAGTAGAGCTTGTGGTCAAAAATAATGCCCAGGAACTTAACAGAGTTTTCAGCTTTTATAGTTTGTCCTCTCAGTGTGAGAGAGACTTGCGGATGTGCTGTGCGAAGTCTGCAAAAATGGATGCACGTCGATTTTGTTGCTGAAAAGGAATACCCTCTATCCCTTGCTATAGAGTCTAGTCTGTTTATTTCATCCTGCAGATGGTCAAAGTTTCCATCAAGTGCGGCGGTGGAGAATATGCAGAGATCGTCTACATATAAGAGGGGTTGAATGTTCGGAGGAGTGCTATCAACCAGGAAGTTAATGGCTACGATGAATAGTGAAACACTTAGAACGGATCCTTGTGGAACGCCATTTTCCAACCTCCTTGTCGAGGACCTGGAGTCTCCGACCTGGACTCGGAATGAGCGATGAGACAAGAAATTTTGGATAAGTTTTGGGAGATTGCCACGAAGACCCCATTCGTGGAGCTGTTTCAGAATACCGAAGCGCCAGGTCATGTCGAACGCTTTTTCCAGGTCAAACATGACTGCCGTTAGGTGACGCCTTTTAATGAATGCATCCTGGACTGCGTTTTCAAGATTTACGAGTGCATCTACCGTGGAGTGGTACTGCCTGTAGCCGACCTGATTGTTTGAGATCAGCTGGTTATGTTCTAGGTACCATACTAGTCTAAGACTTATCATTCTTTCAAAGAGTTTTCCCAGGCAGCAGGTTAGCGATACAGGTCGATAGCTGTTAGGTGAAGTAGGGTCTTTACCGTCTTTGAGAATGGGTACTATAATGGCAACCTTCCAGGCATCAGGGTATATACCTCGCACCCACGCATTATTGAATATCTGTAGTAACTGAGTTTTGACAGACCTTGGAAGGTTTCGAATCATGCAGTAAGGTATCATATCTATACCCGGTGCAGAGTCTTTACAGTTCTCTAAGGCAGACTCGAGTTCTTCATATGAGAATGGTACATTGTATAGATGTAGTTCTGATGTGTCAAAATTGATTCCCTGTGCTTCGGAATTTAGTTTGAGCTGCTGAAAGTTGGGATCATAATTTGCATTGCTGCTGGCGTGTTCAAACTGGTCTGCAAACGTGTCGCATATGCAAGAAACATCCTCGATTACCGAATTAGCTACCTTCAAAGCGCTTGGGGGTCTAAACGGATTCCTGCCTGCAATAACATTGATCTTTTGCCACATCTGTTTGATAGGTGTTTCAGAAGTTATAGACGAGACATAAGTTTCCCATGATTTCTTTTGGCTCTCATTTATGAGTCTTCGTGCTTTAGCACGTAGTTTTTTGAAAGAGATCATGTTGGCCATGGTTGAGTTGCGCTTGAATCTATTCAGAGCGGTTTTCTTCTCGTTGACTGCATTCTGAATGTTTTCATTCCACCACGGCACAGCTTTATTAGATGAGGTCCCGGATGTCATGGGAATGCTAATCTTTGCTGCATCTGTTATAGCGTGTGTGATATCGTCCACTGCTGTATTAATGTCTTCAGTTAGAGGAGGGATACGAAGGTGCTCAGAAAATGTGTTCCAATCAGCTTTCGCAGACAACCATCTTTTATGTGACGGATAGAAAAGTTTGGGGACATCCGTTGTTATGATGATTGGAAAGTGATCACTAAAATTGAGATCATCTAAGACCTTCCAGGATAATCTAGTAGCCAGTTGTGGAGAGCATAGTGAGAGATCTATAGCAGAGGATCCAGCTGTTCTGATATCGAAGTGCGTAGGAGACCCTGAGTTCAATAGAACTAAGTTCGATGAATCAATGTATTCCTCTATAGTTCGTCCCCGGATATCTCTGCGCATAGATCCCCAAAAAGGTGAGTGCGCATTAAAATCGCCCATCAAAATAATTGGTCTTGGAAGCTCTGATAGAAGCCTGTACAACTGATCAATATGCCAATCGCCATCAGGTAAGTATAAGCTACACAATGTAGCAGCAAATGGCGTTGTGATGCGAACTGCGACAGCTTGAAGTTCCGTATCCAGTCTCTGTTCCTGCGCTATGATATTCTGCTTTACGAGTAAGGCCACACCACCTCGTGCTCTGCGGTCTGGTATGACATCCTTGCGGTAAGTATTGTAGTTTCTAAGAGAGAAAGATGTCTCTGGACGGAAATGGGTTTCCTGTAATGCAATACAGAAAGGATCGTTCTCCCTAACCATCACACGAAGTTCATTCAGATGAGACACACAACCATTGCAGTTCCATTGCATTATGTTTTGCATATTGTACTAAAAAGTTTAACTCCTACAATTAAAATATGGAGAAACTATCCCAAATACGGGATGTAAAGTTAGAAAATAATGTAAAAGTAAATATTAAATAAATATATAAATACTTGGACAAGTAAACAAATATCAAAATTAAGGTGAATAAATTAACATAGAATTAAATATTAAAAATTTAACTATCTATTATCACAGGTTCATCACAGTTAGGTTCGCTTCCAATCTGGTTGTCTCCAGATTGTGGGTTTGAAGCATTAGGTTGTCCACAAGACGCAGTATTAGTTCTTGCGTTGATTTGATCTGGCTTGGTTTGAGCTGGAGCAGCCCTCTTTCGGGGTCTACCCTTCGGCCAGCCGCGCTTGCCTTTTCTGGATTCTGGGTCGTCGGTCTGAGATGACGTTAGACTTGCATCAGAGAGATCTGACCCATCAACAGGTGAGGATGCCTTTCTTTTTGATTGATTAGAGGCATCTGATTGGCTGTGGTTTCTAAGAGACAAGCTATGTGATACTTTTGGCTGAGGTGTAACGAATTGAGGTTGCTCAATTTCATGGAAATCTTTGCCTTTCAGTGCTTGAGAAATCGAAGATTGGATGATATTAGTCAGACGTGGGATGATCTTTTCGATAATATCATCATCCTGGCTCTTTTGCGTGGCTTGTGCATACGACACGTTTGGTTGTGGAGTATGCACCACCACCTTTTTCTTGGCCTCAATATAACTTATTTTGTCAGTAGCGATCAGTTTCTGAATAGCCAATTCTGTTTTGTATCTTGGGCATTCCTTCGATGAAGCCACGTGAGGCCCGTGACAATTTAGGCACTGTACCGGGCGATCACATGGTCTTCCCATGTGTAACTCCTTTCCACATATGCATACCTGTTCATTTTGGCAAGACAATGACGTATGGCCGTACCGTTGGCATCTGAAGCAGCGTACTGGTGGGGGAATATACTGCCGAACATCAAGTTTATACATAGCGCATTTAAGTTTCGATGGTAATCTGGGGGAGTTGAATGTGATTATGTGATTTGGAGTATCACGCAGTTCATTGTCCCTCTTGACTCTAATTCTCTGTACATGTATTACTCCTTCTGATTTCAGTTCCTCGAGAATTTCACTTTCAGGGCAATTTAAGAGATCTTTGCAGTACACCACCCCTTTGCTAGAATTTAGCGTTGGGTGGGCTTCTACTGTGACAGGAATATCTGTAAAATGCTGTATTCTTATGAGTCTGTGAGACTGGGCATCTGTTTTTGTTTCCACCAATATGCCAGCTTTAATCTTTTTAACAGAGTTAGGGTCTCCTATTATACCATTTATGGTCTTAGAAATAAGGAATGGACTAACTGTTGCAAAATTATCATTATCAACTCTCTTGATGACAAGGAACCGGGGGACGGGCCCATCCGTCTCCTTGACATTATTGTTCGGTCCAGTGGAAGCTCTACATGTAGCTCCACCTTCGCCATCGTTGCCTACATTTAGGGGGGCAGGCACACCCTTGGTTTTTGTTTTGTTTGCCATGCGAAATGCAGATCTTCACTTCCTCGGCTCCCCACCCTCCGTGGAGCCTCAACGGGAGATTGTGCTCATTGTCGCCTTCCGCTAGAACACAACCCCAGGGATACCGTGAATGTCGAAACAAAGGAAGTATAGTCCCCACAGATAGCTCCACCATACATCGAGGATAGCAAACCATCCTCGTCTGGCTTCTACTACCTGTGGAGGCTCGCCCAGCCAGCCCTCTGACGGGATGGCACAGCCGATTGACCAACGCTGGGCTAGGCGTGGCCGCCCTTCTAGACTGACCGCCGGACCAAAGTGGCGTGTTGCCCCCCTGACTGGTAGGGCTCAACCACCAGGATTCCATTGGCCAGCTTACGGGTCGCCGGGCACGGCACAAACACCCGGGAGGCTAAGAGGAAGCCCCACGCGCCGCCTCAACGCATGGAGTAAGGAAAGGACAAGGAAAGTCGTGAGGGCAGCGGACAGCAGCACAGGATATAATAAAAGGAGAAGGATGGGAGAAAGGGGGAAGGAAAAGCCCAGGGTTTGGCAGAATGAATAAGACTACCAAACCCCGAACTCCCTGCCTGGGGCCGTGGGGGCGACGCTCCCCATGTATCTTCCCTTGAAACCGGATCAAAGATCCAGCTTCAAAAGTAGATACCCCCTGCGGGGAATTATAATTATTATTATAATTACTATTATAATTACAATTTTAGTATTATAATTATAATTTTATTATTTTTATTATAATTATTACTATTATAATTATTATTCTTATTATTATTATTATTATATTATTATTATTATTTATATTCCGTTTTCTGTTAGCTATTCTCTGCTACTGCAGGTGGTATCCTCAAACGCGGCATTATACTGCAAGCGTCTGAGTGTGACTATTGGTTTCTCTTTGTCTATGTGGCTACATTCAGGACCTTGCGTGCTATATGACAACTACCTAAGATAGCAGCTTTCTGAAGTGAGAGGTATAGTTTTCTGCGGCAGATTTAGTTTCTCATATATTTATGTAGACTCTTAGGTATTTCTCCTGTGGCTCCGATCACTATTGGATGACTTCAACTTTTTCTTGATTCCACAGTGTTTTTACTTCTGCAGCTAGTGGTAAGTACTTGCGAACCTTTTCTGTCTGCTTCTCAGCTATGTTATGTGGGGCAGGCACACTAATGTCAATTATGCAGGTAACTTGCTTCATTTTATCTTGAACTACGATATCTGGTTTGTTGTATTCCATGGTGTGATCTGTTTGAATTGTTCTATTCCAGTATATTTTATGGCTGTTAGTTTCTATAACTGGAGTCGGCTGGTACTTGTAATATGGGGTGCGGTCAGTTAGTATGTTCGCAGCATAACAAATTTCTTGGTGAACTATTTAGCCACGTTGTCGTGGCGCTTCAGATACTCAGTGGAAGCTAGGGGAGTGCAGCTCGTCAGGATATGCTCTATGTTTCTTATTGTATTGTTTATTATTATTATATTATTAGTATTATTATTATTATTATATTATTATTATATTATTAGTATTATTATTATTATTATTATTATTATTATTATTATTATTATTATATTATTATTATTATTATTATTATTATTATTATTATATATTATTATTATTATTATTATTATTATTATTATTATTATTATATTATATTATTATTATTATTATTATTATTTTATTATTATATATTATTATTATTATTATTATTATATTATTATTATTATTATTATTTATATTATATTATTATTATTATTATTATTATTATTTATATTATTATTATTATTATTATTATTATTATTATTATTATTATATTATTATATTATTATTATTATTATTATTATTATATATTATTATTATTATTATTATTTTATTATTATATTATTATTAGTATTATTATTATTATTTTATATTATTATTATATATTATTATTATTCTTATTCTTATTATTTATTATTAATTATTATTATTATTATTATTATTTATTATTATTATATTATTATTCTATTATATTATTATTCTTATTATTATTCTTATTCTTATTATTATTATCATTATTCTTATTACCAGGAGGCAAGATCGTTTTGACTGCTTATTAGCGGCTCTCTTGTCAGAGACTTTCTGACGAATGTCCGCAGGCAAGAAAGGTCTGCCGTGTCGTACAGGAGTACAGTTTGCATGAAATTTCATGTAACTGTCGCGAATTTTCATTAGCCCAATAACGCCAATTCTGCTGGTTAACCCTGCCATTAAGATGGAAGTAAGCGTCATCACTCATAAATAAAAGAGGTTCTCATTTTACGCGGTAAGTGGTTCTATCTCACGTGCGAAGTTCATTCGTGGAGCGTATCTCCAGGCTGTAACTGTTGCGCAATGGCCAATTTGTAGGAGTGAAAGTGGAGTTATAGTGCAAAATACGCCTTACCGAACGATCACTGACGCGAAGTTCAGCAGCATGTTGCCGAGAAGATCGAGCCGCACTGCGAAGGAGGGCTTGTCGAACGGGTTCTAAATTTTTTGGGGTTCGAACCGTTCGTGGAGCTCCTGGTGGTCTTTTGTTGATCAGTACACCACGTGTGCGAAGTTACTGAACCCAACAAAGGATGATATTTCGAGAAGGAACAGCTTGATTCCGATGATTATTGAAGTGGCGACTCAACTCACACTGTACAGCCGGGATAGACTCATTATGTCGGACCAAACAGTCGTACGCGAAAACGCGGTGCTCAACCGCCCACTGCTCCATAATGTCTACTGGTAAAAATGCTAGGAACGTCCGAGTCGAACGGCACTTTCCCCACCACTCTCGCCCGAATAGGCGGAGAGTACTAGCCATTTCAAAAAAACATCCGTACTTTGTGCCGGACCCTGTATATTGTGCTCATAATAGGGAATAACTTGGTAATCATAGGGGTCGCGTGCACGATGCGATGCTGCATCGTCGTGGAGGCCTCTGCCGATTGCGCAACTGGT